AGAGGATCAGGAAGAAAGGGGAAAATTAAAGGAGCAAAGAACTTGAAGTGGGAAGGGGTGGGGGATGGGGGTGGAGGAAGGCTGACCTTTCCCTCTGAAATGTGGAGGGAGGCCATGGGCCGGGTGCTGATGAAGATGCCGGTTAGGAGTGGTGAGTGAAGGGGTGAAGCAGGAGTCATGTGAGGGAGTCTGTGCCTGTGGACTCTCTATTCGCAGTGCGCTAGGAAACAGTTTTTTTGATGTTGATTCAATGGTGGAGGGGGCAGTTTCCGGAGGCACTGCTGGGGCTCACATTCTCTTTCCACCGTTCACTAGCTTATAACCTTGGGAAATTTACCTGAACATCACGTGCTTCGGTTTCCTCGTCTGTATAAGGGATTTGATAGTAATCCTCAATGGTTTGCTGTAAGAATTAAATGAGTTAAAACGTGTGAAGGGCATGGAATAGTGCCCGGTGTTACTGCATGACAACGTTGTTATTACCATCATCTCCACCACTATTATCTGCTGAGCCAGAGGGTTTCAGGCGCATGGTTGGAGGTTGTCAAGATTTGAACCAGCTGTTGAGTAAAATAGGAGAAGGGACTAGGGACATGAAATGTTGCTGACCGATACTAGTGGATAGAGATCAGACTGGAAGATAGAAATTTGCAGTGCAGTCAATCTGCATGGCCATGTGAAGTTATCACTGAATCACCTAAAGAGATAGGTTTTTATTTCCCTTTTCCAGATGAGGAAAGTTGAAGTGTAGAGAGGTCCCATCACTTGCCTGGGGTCACTCATGGGTAAGTGGCCAATGCAGGTGACTTGACCGCAGCACTCTGCCTTTTGACCACACTGGTGCACAAACACAGCACAGAGCTGCTCACACACCAGCCATCATCGGGCTTTTGGTTGCAGAGGTGATGGTGGGGTTGCAGCATGCCCAGGAAAAGACCAAAAGAAATGGGATAAACGCAATGATCTGACTTTGTGAAGCACTTCAATGACACTGGCTAGTGAAACTTTCCTTCAAAATGAAAAAAGGCTAGTTCACATCTCACATACTGGAGACACAGGCCAGATTGGGATGGATTCTGGTAAAGAAGCCTTTTGATGAATGGAGCCTTTGCTCAGAGACTTGCCTCAGCACTAAAGCTAATGGGACAGATAATGTGTATTGTCTGGAATACATATCTGGTGGGTCCAGCAGAGTGCCCGGCACACCAACGTGATTAACATGTGTTTGTTGACTGTCTGACTTAGTGATGGCTCTGGAGGTGTGGTAAGAGAGCCAGGAAGAAAGATTTGGGGGATTCTTAAGAAATTAGATGAACAGAGGAGGTCTTATTAAAAGGCATTCTCTCTAATATTTAAAAGTATAGGCAATACCTAGAAATTACCTAAGTGTCTGTAGGACACTCACCTAAACAATTGAAATCACTCAGTCATATTAACTGTTCTGACAGCCATAGCCCTACCAGCTTCTAAATGGAAATGGCATAGCTGGATTATGCATGCATGCTCTAGTTTCCATGGTTACATCTCCCAGTCTTTCACAGGAGTCGGACACACACACACACACACACACACACACACACACACACTTGAAATTTCAAAGAGTGTTTTCCTTTCTCCCCAGTCTACACAGGTATCCAGGGTTCAAAGGTCTGGGATGAAAGTTTCAGTGATCTCTTGGGGAGAAAAAGAGAGAAGTAGTCATTTTTATGACAGTTCTGTCTATTATTGAATGAGGAAGAGAGAATTCAGTGAGGAAATGTGGCAGTGGAATGAAATCCCTATATTGTGAGTCTGAGCATTTTGTTTAATTAGTGGAGAAGGAAAACGGGTGAGGAAACAACATGCTATTGTTTAGATATAGCTCCAGGGGCGGGGTGGCGGAGGCGGGATGTTGTCCAGAGGTGGAAGGGGGACTTCTGTGTTAGAGGTCATTTAAAGTGACCATTCATCTCTGTGACAGCAGCGCCGTGGCCTCGGTGCATTAATTTCCCGCACAGTCCTCTTTACAAATCATCTCTCGTGGCTCATTTTGGCTCAGTCAAGCATCTGTTCTGAGGCATCAGCCCAGGTCAAGACACTTCTGTGGAGCTGGCTTTCCTTGGCAGAGGGAACCCAGGTGGAATTCTAGTGCCTCCTTGTGGTGGCTAACATTTACAGCTCTACCTCACCCTCTAGGAAAAAGTGTTTTCTACTAGTGTTTAGGAACCAACAACAGACTTTGCCCATGTATTAGTGTATCTACCCATCCACCTCTCTCTCCCTTCCTCCCACAAATTTTACTGAGTATCTATAATATTTCATCTAGGCCCTAGAAATAACACTAGCAGAAAAAGATGAGATATTGCCTTAACAGAGTTCACAATCTGGGTATGGGGAGAGGACAAAACAAGTGAACAGTCCCTACTAGTACAAAGAGTTAACAGGAGAAGGATAGCAGGAGGGACCCATTGGCTGCGGAAGCTGTGGAAGCCACCCCAAGGAATTAATTTTCTGGAAGATGAAACATTTAAAAATTTCAATACACAGCTGTGGCACTCATATATCCTGGCTGGGGACAGAGTGGGATGTCCTTAGTTTGTCTTGTCTTCAGGGAGGGGGTGAATAGCTAAGTCACCTTTCACTCACAGCATAGACCAGGGGTGGGCAACCTTTTTGTGAGTGCGTGCCAAAACCAGCAAAATCTCTGACTCAAAATTCTTCTGCGTGCCAACCCTAATTTTTTTGAGAACATGTTACGCCTACTTGATATCTCTTAAGGTGTATGTATGTGAAGAACCTTGAAGAAATAATAAAATTCATTCGAGCGACAAAAACACAGTATATGATGATGAAAAATACATTTATTTTTTAATGTATACATGTACACTGATAGTCCGACAGAAAACTTTATGACTCCGTTTGCTATTATCCGTGGGACTTTTGCTGCTGCATCACTGATGACAGAGATTTTACATCAGGTTTATATTTCGTGACCTTCAGAGATATGCACGAGCTACTACTTTCATCCGTCAGGCTACTCCTATTACGAGACTTAACAAAATTTATCACTGAGAACAAATATTCACAAGCGTATGTGGATGAAACCAAAACACTGGTTGGATCTAGGAAGGCAGGGAGAGTTAAGGCAGAGGCGTAGAAATTGCTCTTCCCCTCTCTCGTCAATCCATGTCTATGGTCTTTAAGATCACTTGTTACGTAAAATTATTTATTTATCTAAGATGCACCTACACTGAATTTATCTGAAAAATAAAAAAGTCGATATTAAGAAAAAAATTGTAAATGGAAAATTATAAGAGAGGGTTTCGCTTGCCAGCAAAAGTTACTGGCGTGCCATGTTTGGCACGCGTGCCAGGGGTTTCCCACCCCTGGCCTAGACCCTTAGAAGGCCCAGATCCGAGCTCCCAACATCAGGATCCAGATATCAGAGCTCACTCTGCGCCAAAGAAGTGCGAGCAACCTGCTCCCAGATGGGCAGCCTTCTCCTCCTTTGTCTCCTCCCCACCCTTAGCACATATTGTCTGGCCAGGCAATATGTCCATCGGTGAACCCAGGAGAATGCATCTGTCTCTGCATGTGTGGCCCTATACTGGGTCTTCAACACTCCATTTTGGAGCACCTGTGAGGTCAGTTTCTGGAGGTGTTCCTGATGCACAGGGGCTAACTGGGGAATACAGCTCAACCCCCCTGGGAGGGCGGAATTGGGAAGCTTGCAGTAGACAAAGTACTGCTGGGATCCCCTCTGCCAGCAGCCAAGGGCTGGCTCCTCTGCGACCTGAGCCGGCCCTGTGCCTCCCTGGCCTGTGCCTGCTGCACTGCACTGTTCTCGCGCATTCAGGAACCTGTATCTCCATAGCCTGTGGAGTGGAGGACCACAACTTTGCTCGTTCGGTATCCCTAAACCAGCGTCTTGCACGTCATGGTAACTGGATAAATATTTGTAGAGAGGAGCTAATCAATTTAGTTGCTCTTCTCTAGACCTCTTCTATTATGTCTTTTCTTGAGGCATAGGAACTAAAACAGGAAACAATTTTCTAGGTAGACACACCATAGGTCTGTCCAAACGTAGCACATTTGTTTCTTGTATTTTTTTCTCTTATACTTAAAGTATACCGAATACTTTACTAGCTTATTTATTTATTTATTATTATTTTTGGCTATAGCTACATACTGAGTTGATCTAAATGACTCCTGAATGCTTTTATGTATCACAATTGAGAACTCAAAGCTCATACCCTAATAAGTATAATTTCTTATTAATGACTAAATTAATGCCATTACTGCCCACACTGAAGCTCAATTGCTTGCAAGGCAGCGCACACAAAGCTCATTTAGCAAGTTTCCTATGAAAGGGAACCTCCCCACCCCCACCTTTTATTCTCTTTAGAGTGATACATTTACAGATTATCTAATTGTCACAAATTGTAGGCCAGCAGAACCATAGCAACATTTGATTGCTAATTATAAGCAACTATTTATTGAAGAACTACCTCCACTTGACAACACTTTAAAAAATCTATTTTTAACTGCTCCATGTTGGGCTTTTTTGCTGATTGTAGTTTTTTTGTTTTCAAATTTTTTTTTCTGATCAGAATATATTACCTCTTTTGGTAACAATACCTCCAGTTTCCTTTACAGAACCATTAGCAGGGGTCCTCAAACTACGGCCCGCGGGCCACATGCGGCCCGCCGAAAACATTTATCCAGCCCGCCGGGTGTTTTTGCCGCCGCTGTGTGCATAGGAATTTGTTCATAGTTTTTTTTAAACTATAGTCCGGCCCTCCAACGGTCTGAGGGACAGTGAACTGGCCCCCTGTTTAAAAAGTTTGAGGACCCCTGCATTATGGCATAGAGACTAGAAACCTGCAGAGCTGACGAATGTAGTGGCTCACCTGTGCCCTTCATAACAATGGTTAACTAGAAGTTGCTAACACCAGGCCCTATCTTGGGCTTGAAGAAAAGAAGGGGAATTTGCCTGCTGCAAAAAACAACCATAAACTTCGTAGCTTAAAACACAGAATTTATTTCTCACAGCTCTGAAGGTTAAGTCTGAAATCAAGGTGTCAGCAGGGCCGCACTGCCTCTGCAGGCTCTTGGGGAGAATCCTTCCTCGCCTCTTCCAGCTGCTGGTGGCTGCAGAGTTCTCTGGCTCGTGGCAACAGAACTCCAGTCTCTGCCTCCATCTTCACATGACCTTTTTCCTGGTGGGCTTTTGCATCTCAAATCTTCCTTTTCTTTCTCTTCTAAGGATACCAATCATTGGATGTAAGGTCCACCCTAAATCAAGGATGATCTCATCTTGAGAGCTATAATTTAATTACACCTGCAAAGACCTTTATTCCAAATAAGGTCACATTCTGAGGTCCCAGGTGGACATGCCTTTTGAAGGCCGCTCCTCCAGACCCCGAGAGACAGGCTGAGAGACAGAATCCTGAGGACATAATTTGGGCATCTAGAGCCACTTGTACCTGTGCTCTAGCAGCAAGGGAGACTGGGAAATGAGTTTGCCTTCTATCCTTTGAATCAAAAGGCTCAGTGTCCACAGCCTGACATGACAGTAATTTGACTTTTTTGATTCATGGTCGCTATCATGCCCACTGTGGCCAGCGAACTGGCCTGATCAGGGGGTGGGGCCAGCTGGCCAACCTCCTGCAGCCCCTCCCCCCAGCCAGCCCACCTCTGATCAGCCCGCCCCACTACAATAGGCCTGCAGCCCCTCCCCCAGGCCGGCCCTGCCCCTGATTGCACCCCCCACCCCAATAGGGGGCAGAGCCGCCTGGCCAACCTCCCACAGCTCCGCCCCCTGGCTGTCCCCGCCCCTGATCACACCCTCCACCCTAATTGGCTGACCAACCACCCATGGCCCCTCCCCCAGGCCGCTGGCCCCTGGGTGGCACCCCCACCCCATTTGGGGGTGGGGCCAGCTGGCCTACTGCCCACAGCCCCTCCCCATGTCCAGCCCCGCCCCCAATCAGCCCCCAATCCCAATTCGGGGTGGAGCCTGCCAATAGCCCGTGGCCTCTCCCCTCAACCAGCCCGGCCTTCATCAGGGCCCAATCGGGGTGGGTTGACTGGCCAACTTCCTGCCATCTCCTCCTCCCAACAGGCCCAACCCTGATCTGCCCCGACTGGGGCTGGGCCAGCTGGACCCCACCCATGCATGAATTCATGCACTGGGCCTCTAGTCTGTTATAAAAAAGTAGCAACCTTAGGTTAATAAATTACTTTCTTTAAGTGTGTAGTGTGAATGAGGTACAGCATTATGTATTCTTAGTTGAGTTCAGCAAAATGTGTTGCTTTCAGCCATTATCTCAAAAGATAAAAACCATCAAAACAGGATTCCAAAATGGCGGAGGATGCTACACTGACACTCTCCCAGTACCAAACTGGAAATACAACTAAAATACAGAAAAACCACCCTGAAAAATCTTTCGTCACTTCTTCAGTAGTCCCCTTCATAGTTCAGTTTCTAACTGTGACCCTATATAACAAAATATTAGGACTTAAGAAAGGGTTAATGCCCACCCCCCACCCCCAATTAAAGAAAACCACATGAAAGAATTTAGGAAGTACAGAGAGAAAAAAAGCTCAAAATCAACCAATCCAGTAAACCCACCAATGGTTAGGTAACCCTATGACATGTACAACAATGGAACCTTGGGTATAACCCAGTGCAGCCCCTCGTGCCATGGTGCTTTTCAGAGCATTTGTCTGTCTTGTCTTGTATTTCTAAATAAATATTATGCAGTTTTATGGGGATAAGGAAAACCTGGCAAGTAAGTTGGGGTGAAATACTTTTTTTCACAGCCCACAGTGACCTGGTTGAACAGAATGATCTTTACAGGATATTCTCTTTACCAATATTGCCTGTTTGAGATAAGCTAATAATAAACAAAACAAAAATAAAAGACCGAAACTTCTCAGATACAGATGAAACTTTATTTATACATAAAAATTACACCTCAGGAATTCTTCTTTTCTAAGAAGTCTTTTAATTGTAAAGTTCAAAATGAACAAAATTGAAAGGAGCAGTGTATATAGCTTTTTAATTTTGTACACACTCCAGTCACAATTTTTTAAGCTGCAAAAAATATACCTCTCCTATAACAGGAAAAGCATGACCTTTTGTAACTGCAGACTAAAATCACATTATGGCATCAAAAGTCAAAGTGAAATAAATTAATATTCTGAAATAGAAGACTAGGCTTTGATGCTACATAGGTATGCCCTCTAACCACTTCCCTCCATGTTCATTCTTTCTCTTAGGTATATAACAGAGAATTTTTTCACTAACATTATCATTAAAAAAAAGTGAAAAGAGAAGTGATAAGGGCTTTTGTAAAATTATCTCCCATGATCATACATATCTGAGTAGTAACATTAACATTATCCACCCTATATAAGAAACAAATAATTTATATAATAATAATTTATCTATTCTGGAGCATGTAAGCCTCAATACCATGTAAATTTCAACTTCACTTTTCAAAAAAAAATGTTCAAGTGATTAAATGTCAAGTGGCTCCTACATCCAAACAAGATTAAAAACACTTAGTAAGACATGGCCATTTTTTTTTTTTTTAGAGCAGGGCTTAATATATTACACTTTACCCAATATAAAAAGGATTTAATTTATCTGATAAAACAGATAAGTCTTATTATGGATAAGTCTTATTATGGATTTAACCACCATCTCTCATCTTTTGCCCCCTCCACCAATTCACCCAATTGCAAAAGCCACCATTTATTTATCAGTAATATGGTTACTCTTTGGAAATGTCTACATTTATTTCAGATGACAAATTAGAGAAGTGAACAAAATCATATAATTTCAGGTACAATGAACTTAAATGTACCTTCAACAGTAAAGAATGTCAAGTAGCTGCTTCACTTTTTAACTTAGTGTTGCTCTTTATCTTCTTCATTTTTAAGTTTCAAAAGAGGTCACAGTTCTATAAGACTTGGCCAAGAAGTGTAGGACATTGAAAAGTTCTTATTAGAAAATGTCAACAGTCTCAATTTTCTACCAGATGGATAGGAGACTCGATATAATAATGCCGTGTACAGCCTGAAGAGGAGATGAAATGACTGCCTTTCCGTTCTGTGCAAACAGTTCTAATGTCAGTGTTGCTATACTGGGTTTAGTCTCTCCAGGAGGCAAATGACCTCTGGCCTGACATTTTATTAAAACTGGACTCAGGGTGGCATGAAGGGGCATTGGATGCGAGGCAGCAGTGAGGTGGTAAGTCATGGGAAGAAGAAGCTTCTCCCCCTTTTGCGAAGGTCATGGACACTCCAAGGGTGAGAGAAGAGATAAATAGTAAATATGTAATATAGAAATACCTCTATCCCCATTAGGATGACAGCAAAGCAAAAATAAGTATCCAAAGATGACATTTTTACTGGAAATACCAGATTTCCCAAAAATATGTTAGGAATTCATAGAAGGATGAGGAAATAGATAACATTTCTTCCTCTCATTGAGAAAAAAAATTATAACAAAATTAAATGAAAGCAATGGATGCTCTTGCACAAGCTTTGTATTTAGACAATACCACCCACTAAAATGACATCTTAAGTCAAAAAGTAGCTCTGTTCAATTCTGTTTAGACAAGAAGCCTTTTCATAAATTTGCTTAGGAGAATAATTCATTCTTCAAAAGAGCTTGAGTAAGCTACAGTTTACACAGAAAATATCATTGGAAAATATTGTACTACTATGATTAAAATAATAATGTGTAGCCTTTTTTGAGTGGTTTACATACTTTTTCAATAAAGCCTAAATGAACTAGGAATCAGAAGCTTTTCCCATTAAAACCTTGTGCTTTATCAAAAAAAAAGAACACAGAACTAGCAGAAGTTAGGACTAATCTATAAAAAAATATAACTTACAGAACTATTTAGAATTTTCTATTTAACACTTAAAGAGGCAGTACTTAAAGCATTAGAAATTTATAATGCTTCCTTAGGGTGGTGATGATTAGAGTTTCATTTTTTTAAAGGGCTATTTGTGATTGATATAAAGGATCTGTCCCCAATAAATCAGATAAAAATCTGTTAATTATAAATGGATAACGTGAGATCATCTCAAAGCAGAGTTTGTAGACTTAGAAAGCTTTGACTGAGATCAAAGAGCTGAGTTTTAGACTTCACACTGCTCGTGGTTAATGACATGTCTTTTATATTTTATTTTATTCATTTTAGAAAGAGAGAGAAGGGGGGAAGGGAGAAAGGAGGGAGGGAGGAGGGGGAGAGAAAGAGAGAGGAGAGGAGAGGAGAGGAGAGGAGAGGAGAGGAGAGGAGAGGAGAGGAGAGGAGAGGAGAGGAGAGAAAACATCAATTAGTTGTTCCACTTGTTGAGGCTTTCATTGGTTGATCCTTCTGTCCTGACCGGGGATCGAACTGAAACCTTGGCATATTGGGACAACACTCTAAGCAACTGAGCTACCCAGCCAGGGCCAATGGCATGTCCTGTTCCTCAGATTGCCTCCCCTAGAAATACTTATTAAAGTTTAAGAAAATTTTTCCTTAGCACGTGAGATAACACAGATATTCCTCTTTCTGACTTAAAAACAAACACACCAAAAAACCCAAACAAATAAAAAGCCCAGAGTGCCCAAACAAGCAAACTGTTAACGAAGCAGTCAAACCTCCATATCTTCTATTTTCAAGTAAATGTGTATTCACTGGCTACAGTTGAAAGGAATATCCAAACAATTTCAAATTCCTGGATTAACTGTAAGGACCCAGAACACTTGCTCCAGGGCTGGGTAGTGATACCCGATGA